ATGGCCCCTGGATTCTTTATCAGCTCAGAACTAAAACAATTTCTGAGGCCAACTCTTCAGACAGGGATTGGACTGGACTGTGGGACATAAAGTGATATTCGTGAGGAGTGTGCCTCTTAGCTCAAGTAGATAGAAGAGGCTAAATGGGCAGCTTCTGTCTGGAGGTGAGATGGGAAGCCAGAGAGGGCTAGGAGCTGGCTGAGTGGATATGGGGAATCAGGAGTGGAAAGGAGGAGTGTGCTGTCACAGTATAGGGGGAGCAATTAGGGTCACATAACAATGTATGTATAAATTTTTGTATGGGAGACTAACTTGAAATGTAAATTTCATTTAAACTACAATAAACAACAACAACAACAAAAAGAATCATTAGGATCTCAGTAATGATACAGGAAAGACGAGAGTAACACGAACATGGCTGCAGACAGGGCTAGGGAAACTGACCCAGATGAAGAATTTCACCAACATGGAAAGTGATCATACCCAATTCCAAGATCTAAGGGGAATAAAATATTTTGGCCTATTGGAGGGCAGTGTTGCTGTTCAGGATCAATGAGTGACACAGCAGTGAATGCCTTTATAGTTAAGAAAATTGTAGAATTTTATGGAAGGAGGTAGAGGGAGAGAGTTGCGGATATGCGATGAGGGATATCTGGAGTTCAATCCAAAGCCCTAGGAAATGGCTGGAGAACAGACAGGGTCCATTCCTCTGAAAGATCTGGATAGGCTGCAAGCTCCTAGCCTTTTGGGTTCATAATGAGGACATTACCCCTGCCCTAACAAGGAGCTAGAATGTCAACCAAGAATGAAGAAAACCTAGCACACAGACTAGGTGTGCAGTAGGAATTGGTGGGGGAAGCTATCAGTGCCAAAGATTTCACCCCCAAGCACACTGTGTACCACTTTCAATGTAATGGGAGTAATTCCAGCACAGGATATTACTTTCCAACAGAATAAGAATCTTTAGGAAAGTTCAAAGACTGGAAGAGATTGAACCTAGAGGGTAAGGTCCATGACAGTGTATGTCCTGAAAGGAGACCTTCAGTGATGAGCTTGGGCGGCCCCATAAACTTTGTAAGACTCAGTTTTTTCACATGTAAATTAGGAAGAAAACTATTATCCTGGCAGAGTTATTGTGGTGATTAAGTGAGATTAACTTTTAACAATATTTCTAGTAGGTACTAAAGAGCCCTGGTGGCACAGTGGTTAAGCACTTGGCTGCTAACCAAAAGGTAAGTGGTTCTAATCCACCCAACGACTCTGGGGGAGAAAAACCTGGTGATCTGCTTCCATAAAGATTACGGCCAAGAAAATCCTGTGGGGCAGTTCTACTCTGTCACATGGCGTCACTATTATTCAAAATCAACTTGACGGCACCTAACAACAACAACAACAGTAGGTCTAGTAGATATTTAATAAATATTAGAAGTTCACTTCTCGACGTCTGGGCAGACACCAGTATTTACTGTTGGGGACATTAAACTTACGGTGACCATGGTGAACTCCTTGAAGGAAACTCCTGGATATTTCTCCGTCATGAAAACCCCATATTTTTCTTTCCTTGGATCTTGTAGATTGGTCTATTTGTTTCCTTTTTCATTATCTGAATTGGCATTTGTTTCTTTTCCAAACCAGCTGAGCTTCTGAGAAGGTTCTCTATTCTCCCTGCTCACTAAGAAACAGAACACAGTTTCACAATTTCTTCACAGTTTCACAAATCTAAGGACTTTTACTGCCAGTAGGATTAGGAGACATACACATGCCTCCTTCTCAGGCTAACATTCCCCTCCTTGTCTTCTCTCTGGGGCCCACTCACAGCTGTTTTTCCTTCTCAGGATAAGATAAGAAACAGAGAAGTATATCCTCCTAGTATTTCTCCTTCTCTTATTTATACCACCCATAAGAGCCCTGGTGGCACAGTGGTTAAGAACTCAGCTACAAACCGAAAGGTCACCAGCCACTCCGCTGGACAAAGGTATGGCAGTCTGCCTCCATAAAGATCACAGTCAGTTCTACTCACACCCATAGGGTCGCTGTGAGTCAGAATCCACTTGGTGGAAATTTTTTTTTTTTTTAAATACCACTTACTATGGCCCAAAGTAATATAAAACAGTATTGTGGTAAATATAAAATAGGATAAGAAACAACCAATGAAGAGATGAGTAGGATTTCAACAAAAGAAGTATGATAGATGAAACATAAGGGGCCCTGGTGGTACATCAGTTAAGCGCTCAGCTAATAACCAAAAGGCTGGCTATTTGAACCCACCCAGCAGGTCTGTGGGAGAAAGACCTGGTGATCTGCTTCCATAAAGCTTACAACCTAAAAATCCTATGGGGCAGTTCTACTCTATCACATGGGGTCACTATGAGTTGAAATTGCCTCGATGACACCCAACAACAACAACATATGAAGCTTAAGTGAGGATGAGGTGATATTAAAAACACTTAACACCTCTCAAGGCATAAGCACTGACCTGATCAGAATGCATCTTATGTGCACACAATGGCATGGCTGATCCAGTGTGCAGCTCCTAATATCAGCTTAGCATGTGCAGGACCAGACTGCATAGAAGGCCAGAGCATAGGAAGGCTCAAATGCCAAATGAAGTGCCTTGACTTTACTTTCTTGGCCCCTCAGAGTCACAGATCTGTTCTGAGCATGGGTATAATACAATAGGGCTCTTGCTTCTCAGAGAACTGAAGAGAACTGAAGCCACAGAATAAAAAGGATTGTTCTTTCCTATTCTTGTGAAGCCATCTCTCAACCACTTACAACCCAAGCACTGGCTTATAATTTTTTTTCACTCACTACAGCTTGCTTTGAAGTCCACAAAGAACAGCTCTGGTGAGTTGTGTGTAGACGTTTGAAACACTGCAGAGTTGTCATCCCTCAGCAGACAGCCAGCTGATCCCTTGACTTGTGCGTGCCAAAGAACAACTAAACAAAAAGCTCACAAGGGGATGCACAATATGACTGGAATTTCCCTCTGCCAGCTGGCCACTCTGATACTTGGGCTTCTCTTCATAATGTTTCCCACTTTTGAGGCTGCTGAGTAAGCCAAGGAAGCAAAGGTTAAGCTGGGGGCTGAGCAAATCCCAGCAGAGTGAAACAAATGGGAGGAATGTGGAAAGATGTCTCAAATTGACACATCTTTTGAATTAATCTCTGTAACCATGTCCCCTTTAGCACTATTTGTGTGTGTGTGTGTGTGTGTGTGTGTGTGTGACTATGTCCTTTTGGGAAAAGCTTAGATAATTTCTCCCATGTGAACTGAGCACTGAGCACTGTCTCATCCACCAAGGATTAGCTGGCTAAATTTATCAACTCTGGCTTATAAAACAGGGTTGAAAAATCTCTTAGATCACTATTTGCAAGGAGGAGGGTATGGTGGGTAAGGGTATGAGTACTAGTTGTTAGGCCAGCTGGTGTGACTCCGGGCTCTACAATACACCTACTGTGAGGTGTCGGGTGGGTTTTTTAGCATTCATTTTCTCCTCTGTAAAATGAAGATGAGAAGTTTAACTACCTCATAGCAGAGTGCCGAGGATTAAATTAATTACAAACAAAATACTTAGACTTTGGTATAAGTAAGCACACAAAAGAAAAAAAAAGGTTAGTTGCTTCTGTCATTGTTATTGTTGCTGTTTATATTATCCTATGCCTCTTTCTAATACTCCATAATAAGACAATTACTTTATACCCCTCTGGAGTATGAGGTGGTTTAGTGTTAAAATTCTCAACTTCCATGCTGGAGGCTCGGGTTCGATTCTCAGCCAATGCACCTCAAGCTCAGCCACAATTTGTCTGTCAGTGGAGGCTTGTGTGTTGCTATGGTGCCGAACAAGTTTCAGTAGAGCTTCCAGACTAAGGCAGACTAGGAAGAAAGTTCAGTGATCTTCTTCCCAAAAAATCAACCAAAGCAAACCCTATAGATCACAACGGTCCAATTCCCATGTTGGGCATGGGGCCACCATGAGTCGAGGCAACTTGACGGCAGCTAACAATAATAACAGCCTCTGTTAAGGAAGCCTAACTATCTATGAACCACAAAGTACTAAAAATATGTATCTCTCCCGAGCATAGATCA